CTTGTCCTCCTCAGAACGTCGGCCCCACAGAGGCAGTTGTCACTGTCCTTTCATTCACAACGTGTCCCCAGCTCTTGGGGCAGTCCCAGCACATGGGAGCCGCTCACTATTTCTTGGGTCAATGAATGAATATTTGCTATTTTTCTTATTAACAGATATTTCTGAGATGCTTTAATATTGTTAGGTAATGTTATAATTTCCCATGTGTTGATTATACGTGAATAATTAATGAGTGACTCATGTAGGGAGTTTAAAATTTTAATGGAATCAACTCTTTTTTTTTTCCTTCTAAGAGTAGAAGTAGAGTTTTAACTAAATTAATATTCTAGGAACATTAAATTTTGGAGTTTTTACTCTAGGACACAGATAAAAATAAACTCAATTAGATACCAGGAGTGTCAGGTGCTAAATGGTGTATGGCTATTTATGACATTCTCCTAGAATTCAATGGTTATTAACTTGCAGAGATGTGGCAGCTGAAGTTAGGAATCGATGTACTTTTAAAGTGGAAAAAAAGAGCTTTGAAGTATTTTTTTACATTATAAACTGTCAATTTAATGGTTATAGAAACCGTATCTGATGCAGCAAATCGTTGCCATTCTGCTGTGAATTTCTTGACGCTCATGAATGCGGAATTCTATTTTTATGTTTCTCTTAAGTAATCCTAAAGGTGGAAGGGAGAAACAGGAAGAAAAAGGAGAAAACGGTAGATACAGAGTTAGGACATCACCTCGGCTCTGGTGACTTCGTGTGGAATGACTCTGAAGTGAATTAATAGGCAGTAAAAACGGCTGACGCGCCTCTCCAGTCCACGGCACCCAGATGCACCACAATTAGGGCGCCATTTGCCTTGTCATGCCCGTGGATTCCAAATCACTCTGACTTTCAAGAAAGCGAAAAATACGACATTTATGATGTTGGGAGGGGTCACTGTGCACTGGGTTGTGTCATTTGATGAGGAAAAAACCAAATTATCACTTTATGAAATGAAGGTAAAATGTATGGAACTGCCGTTTCTATCTAACTTTTTGCATGAATGTGGAGCAAGTGTCAAACAGGATTGTGTAAGGTGACAGTCAGGACGCCATCTCATCCTTGTGTTTGGAGACTGTGATTTGCCCTTTGTTAAAAGGAGCCTAAGTGGCTGTGGTGTTGTCAGACCAGGCAGGTCTCGGGAGCTCTCCTACTGCCTCCTTGGTGCCTGCGGGATGGCACGGAGAGGCCAGTGCCGTTGAAGAAGGCTTGATTACTTAGGTTTCCCTAGGGGAGAGACACGCCACACCATGCCATGCCACGCCACACCACTTGGGAGTACCAGGTTTGGGGAAGAGGCGGAAAGGAGTGAGGGGAAGGCCCAGGCCAGAGCCTGTCTTGGGGTTTCCACAGGGGGCAAGGCCAGGCAGGGTAAACAGCTTAGAATTGGCCACTTTTACTAATTCTGGTGGGCTTTGGGCAGTAGGGGTGGTCTCTCTGTGCTTGGTGCCTGGCCCTGGGTTGATTCAGGGTAGGGGAGCAACACTGGCTCATGAGAGTTGGAGGAGGAGGGGCGGTTTGCATAAGGATGCCTTCCTGGCCCAGCCCTCGGCCGTCTCTGAGACCCGATCAGCCCTGGGAGGGGCCATCTCTCCCTGGGGCTGTGAGACCCCCACCCCAAGTGCCAGACTATCCAGCAAAAGAAAATAAGGTGAATATAATTTGCCCTGTGATGAGTGGACACCAAATAGACAAATACGGGATCCAGAAAGCGCAGTTAGAACAGCTGCCTCCATTGACAGCATGGCCCACATAACCCAGGACAGACACACAGACGTCAGGATGACCCAGCAGAGGGTCTCTGACAGCCTCACCTTCTGTCTTTCACGAGATCAGCTGGAATCCTCCATCAGTTTCTGGTGACCGCGTGTCTCCTGGCTTGTGTTTTCTGTGTATTTCCCCTTCTCGCGGTGCCTCATTCGTAGATTCCGGAGAAGCTGCCATCGGCTGGGTGTTTGCTGATTGCACCGTGGAGGCTGTGAGCACTGGGGCGGTGTGCTTCTGACAGGGCCCTAGCCGGGAGCCTTTGAATCAGTGCACACAGGCCTCGTCACTGCCCCTCAGCTTTCAGGTTTATCTGATTCATTCTGCAGGAATTTTAAATATGAGAGTCTGTGCACATTTTGCAAGTTTTTCTTTTTATGAATGTATTTTTTATAAATTGTGATATGTCTCGATATAAATATTTTGTCTCCTTTGGGTTAGAGTTATGATGGAGATGGAGAAATCACAATTTCTCATTTTAAGAAAGAGGATAAGAAATGTGACAGGAAGCCACCAGGGCAACTTGGTCTCAGCTTGTGGTGGCCCCACCCAGGGTTGTACCTGTGGGGCCACGGGCTCAGAGAGCACAGCCCACCCCCGTAACGGCTGGCGTCTTTGCCGCCTCTTCCCACATGGGGGGCAGACTAGAGACTGGAGCCCACCACTGTGCTCAGCTTCCCTCCAAACCCAAATGAAGACCCTGATGCAGAGAGAGACTGTAGACATTTATTTTTCAAAAACGTGTCTCCAGCAGCTGGGGAGACGTTCCTTGTGTTTACCTGACTTCTTTAAGCATTATTTCTCCAGAATAATTTCATTGCAAAGAATCCAGAATCCAGACAGCTTTTTACCATCTACCTTTTTAAAAACATCTGTTTGGTTTGACCTGGACTGCTCGAGACTCTGGTGGCATTAAGCTCTTTCTCCATGAGGGATCTGGGCGTTCTGCTTCCGCGTCTCAGATTGTTTCCTCCTTGCTTCGGTCCCCATTAGGAGACCCCTGGGGCCAGTCCTAGTGGCTGTGTGTGCCAGCCTGTGCCGGCGTCTCCTCGGTGGGGCTGGAGACTGCAACGTTTGCCCGGTTCTCCTCTCCTGGATCGCGTCACACGCTCCGGTGTTGGAGTTTCAGCCCGTCCCGTCTCTCCCGCCTGGTTCATCACAGGGTGTGGGCGTCTTCCCGGTGAGGTCCCTAACTTGGTTTGATGCACGGCAAGGGAATAATTAATAAAGAAACCCATGGAAACCCCCAAGCACAGTTTTGGAATACAATAAGTGACTTTGTGTCATAAAACAGGCCCACAGAGATTTTCTTGTTTCTTATTGGAAATAATTGCAGAATAATAATCGAAGTTTATATTCTCCTTTTGAATAGTCTCCTCTGTGGTTTCTCGGTTCTAATTCCTGTGGGTTGCTTTTGATTTCCTCTGTTGGGGATATACTGTGCATCGGAACTTGACAGAGATTCCAGACTCCCGGGTCCCCACAGCAGCCGGCAGGGGATGCTAGCACAGATGCTGTTGACAAGGATTTTGTCCAAGGTGACTTGTGACGTGAAGCTGTAAAGTGTGCTAGTCAGACCGGAGAGAGAAGAAGGGGTTATTCGGTGTTGTCCAAATGCTTCTATACAAAATAGGGCATCTTGTAGCTCTCAGGCCAGGCCTCTGGGGCACAGTGGCAGCCCAGCAACAGCAGAAGAGGGTGACTCCAGCCCCACGGCCAGAGCTGTGGGAGCCCCTCCCCCCTGCAGCATTGGTCCCCCTCGCTCAGCACGAGGACTGCCCGGGCTGTGGACATGGACGGTGCCTGACCTGTGTCCCAGGGCCTGGCTTGCTCCCTCCCGCCTCTTCAGGCCATCCTGTCTTAGTCCTGTTCCCGGCTCCTCCTGGGTCTCCTGGGAGCTAGTCCAGCAGCTCCTCTGCCCTGCGCCTTGCTTCTCCCTGGGGGTGGACCCAGGGTTCCTCCCCACATTGCAGACCCGCCCAGAGGCTTTACAGGGAGGTGTGCGCAGCCCCCCAGCGCAGCCCTGAGGGCACTCGCTGCAGGTCTACCTGGCACCGTGGAGGGCCACTGTCAGAAATAGTCCCCCCACCGCACCCCGAGCCCAGGCCATAAGCTAGACGTCTGCAAGAAAGAAGGAGTTCTCTGGTTGCTGGAGGAATGCGCCCCAGTCAAGGAGGACGGCCTCTGGGGAAGCTGCTTCCTGGCCCCAGCCCCACGGCTGACAGCCTTCTTGAGTTTGTAAGCAACAGAGATATATGACCACAAAGTCTGAAATACTTACTCTCTGGCCCTTGATCCAAAGGATTAAAAATAAAATATGTGGGGGCTGGCCTTGCGGCGTAGTGGTTAAGTTCCCACGCTCCCCTTTGGCCCTGGGTTTGCAGGTTTGGATCCCAGGCGTGGACCAACATGGCTCGTCAGCCATGCTGTGGCGACAGCCCACACACGAAGTAGAGGAAGATGGGCATGGATGTACACGCAGAGAGAATCTTCCTCAACAATAACAAAAAAATAAAATATGTAATTGAACTTAAAGTGTACAAAAGTTGAATGTGTTTCAGTCAAAAATGGGAATTTAAGTAAACAAAGCAAATTTTTTGCTTTGTTTTAATAATTTTTTTATGTTTTCAGAAAATGTTTTTTCAAAATTATTAACAGTGAGCTACGAAATATGTTACCGTTAATATCCAGTGTTTAAATCAAAATTACTTAAAGAAAGCTGAATTTTTAATTTAACGCTTTGAATGTGTAGTTAACTCATATTAATAATTTTATAAAAAATAAAACTCCTGGTAATCCTGGGGTCCGACGTCCGTCTGGTTGCGGCATAGAGCGCGGCTCTGCTCTGTGCGGAGCCTGTCGGCCACGAACACACCAAGTTGGGAGTAATCAGAGTTGCTTAACATGGCACAGCATTCCTCTGGGGCCACATGTGGTTATGGTGAATCCCGCGTGCGTTTGTGTGCTTTTGGAGCAATAAATCGGAGAGTGGATGCTGGGAATTACTGGAAAAGGAACTCGTTACCCAGTACAGTTGCATCGTGTTGAAGGGTGTTTACTTTGTCTCCTCTGTTACTGAGTGCTTCTCCCCTCCCTCCTGCCCAGATCCCCTCCTCCCCAGGCAGCCTGCAGTCCCCGGGGCTTTGGCTGCAGCCGCCTTGTTCCAAGAGTGCTGAGATGTGGGTCTCCCTGGGGCCTGAACGGTGTTCGTCTGGACAAGAGGATGTTGAGGGCTGTGGGCTGTGCTGTGCCGACCCTCAATGCTGGATCCCCAGTGACAGGACCGCGCACCGTGAGAAGCGTGTGCATGCGTGCGTGTGAGTGTGTGTGTGTGACGTGTGGGCCCTGCTGTCCTGGGCTGGTCACCGCACTGTGCTGGTCGGGCCAGCTGCCTCAGGGTGCGCCAGGCTCAGTAGACATGTGGAGGGTTAGTGTCTGCCCCGCCCCTGGGTGCTTGCCATGCAGTTGGGGGGCAGGCCATTCCCCTGGACCCCAGTGAAGAAGGCAGCGACGTGTGGACCGTCACACGGGAATCCAGGCAGGAGGAGGCGCGATCCCGGGAGGAGTGGGGCAAGTGGGGTGCGGGTCCCTGTCTGGGGCTCCTTCCCGATGCCCCCACTGTTCGTGGGCACTCCTGTGGAGTCCTGCATCAGGTGCTCGTGAGCCCGTGCGCTGGGTCACGTGGGAGCCCATCACTTTCTGCAGGTCGTCTTGTAAACCATACTCTCTTATGACACTTTCACTTCGTTATCTTAAGAACTCTCTAAAGACCGGAGAAGGCTTTCCTTAGACAGGACTGTGTGTTTGCTGTGGAGATTCCTGTTTCCCGGGCTCCTCTCTCCTCCCTCCCTGTGGTGTCGTGTCCGTGGCTGCATTGAAGGGTTAACTGTCACATGTCGCTCCTGGGCGGTGTGCTGGGGAGTCATTGTGGTCCGGGTGACCGCCCTGATTCGGTGATTTGGTGAATGAGCCGGGTGGAGGAGGAGCGGCTCCCACGTGCAGGCGGGGGCTGGCCATTGTCGCAGCTGCCGCACGGCTGAAGTGATTCCACCCCAGCGACGGGCGGCACCGAGTGGGGCCGGGGCTGGCTGGGGCCGCGTCGGCTTGACTGGATGGCGTCGCTCGTCACTGGGACTTTGACCACAGGGACCTTCTTCAGCATCATGGGGCGTCGATATAAAAGAAGACGCAAGAAACGCTCCGAGAGGAAAGGTAATTCCTTTGGCTTTGATTCTAAAGTGTCAAGTACAGACTTTGGATGCAATATGGGAGCGTTTCCTGGGGCGACTGCTCTGTGAATTAATCTCGTGGACCCCAGTTGCTTTCCCTTTGGAAGTGCCTCTCTTTCTTCTCTTTGTGGCGTTTGATGGAATTCTAGATAGGGACTAGCTTAAAAAAGGTAGATTTAAAAAATATGTCTCTAAACAGGTATAGCAATCTAAAATGATTTCTGTGTTTTTAGATATTTATGAAATGTTAGAAGTGTGTAGCTTTGAGTGTTAGAAGATTTTCCCTCTAGAGAGAGATGCTTTATAATGATTTATCCTTTGCTGTCACCTCATCAATGACTTTTCTTGCACTAAAACTACTCTTCATGCTGTAGAAAGAAAGACCGTGACAACCGTTGTTAAAATATTTTCCTGCTAAAAACACGAGAGCAAATTCTTTCCGTTCAACACTCCAGGTAATTTCAGTCTTTAATTCAACTTGATGTTTTAAGACATTAAAATAAATCTATGTTTTTTCTTAACACCAGATTCAAAAGTTGTCCGTGACTATAAAAATCACAAACTCTCGGCTTTGGGGTGAATTGTTGCCTTAAAAGGTGTTGAGAGTTAGCTGCCTTGGTATAACATGCCCAACCTGATAGGACACGTCTCAGGTGAGAAGATGCTCCAGCGAGGGGACCAGCCCGGTGGATAGTGAGCCTCTTCTGCGCGTCACCTCATTACCCACCAACTGAGGGGACTACAACAGTCTTTCCCCAGCACCGCGTCTTTGGGGTGTTCTGTGGCACAGGACAGTCCTCCCTGCAGGAAACAAAATGAGCCACAATTTTTGGTGTGGCTTCCTGAAGAAAGGAAGAAGCCAGTTGCAGATTTAGCAGTCTTACGATCATATAACAAAGACGGGTTGTGCCTGTGGAGTTCTGTCTGGGAGTGGCGGGGGCATCGTGGTCTGCAGACCTGTCTGACTGCAGACTGTGCCTGCTGTGCGTGTCCAGGACAAAGGGCACTGTCCCAGGGGGACACAGAGCTCGGCACAGCCCCCTGGGTGTCCAGGCTCCTCCCACAGTGCCTCTCTGTTGTTCTCTCGACTCACATCTCAGCTTCCAGTGCTGGCATCTTTTATTTCCTTAGTTAAGCATTAAAAAGCAAGATGTCCTTAAGACCGGCGACAGAGTAAAACAAAGGCAAAAGCAGAAACTGCAAGAATTTGATCAAATACCCTAAATTTAGAATTGCATTATTTTTTCCATGGCCCTCCCCCCCCCCCCCCCACTAAACATTTAAGTTGGGGAAGAGATTGAGAAGTATACGAATAATTCTCTCGTCATTCTTGTGGAACTTGCAGTAATTCAGATGATTTGTATCAGCCCCTCTATAAGGCTCCTTCATGCATTGTAGACTCTCATTCTTCATAGGAAAACTGTTCTAAAACAACGTTGCGTTTTCAGACCAGTCTTGCGAAACTGGAAACTGCAAGTGTTACAGGATGTAGCAGTTAAGTCCATGTGATAAATGCGTCGTGTTTGCTCGACGTTCCTCTGTGTGTAAGTTCACCGTGAATGCTATTAACCGCGTAATGTGAGTGTTAGTGCCCGTTCTCATTTATAATATGCACTATATTTGAAACTAGTAAAAATGCCTTTAAAAATTATGAGTACTATTAAGACTGGCCATCCTGTTTATACCAAATTGGCAAAGTTTTGCAAGATGTATAATTGCAAGGTGCTATAAATCATGTGTATTGGATTTTTACCTAAGACTGGCATAATGTGAGCCTTTTCAAATTTAATGATTTGTTGAGGACCATGTAGCAGCAGGTTGCTTGTCGGCTTCAGTAGCAATACAATTTCAGCGATTTTCATCGCTCGCTTCCCCTGGGCAGGTCATTGGCTGTTGATCGTGTATGAGACTCAGATGGATTAGCTTAGTCATCAGAAAATTATGGTTGAAAGAGGATAATGTACCATTTAAATACTGACCAGGACCTCCGTGAAGTGGACATTGCTGCTCTGCAGGTACTGCCAGCCTGAGAGCTGAGGCCGGCCAGGAGCCCAGGTCATACTACTGGGGACAGTCAGACCCCCACACAGGACTTCCCGGGCCCTGACCAGTCCCAGTGACTGCCACTGTTGCCTTCTTTCCACTCATGGCACTGCTGCTGAGTAAAGAAACAGTGGGAAAGGAGAGGGCTGGAGGAGACGCAAAGACACTCCTTTGCTCCCCCCACCCCATGTTGTATGAATAAGGTTCTGTGTTTCCAAACTAAGGGCTTTCTCATTGAGTCCTTTGTTTCAAATATGATAGCACCTTCATCTGTGCCCAGGCATTCTGCATGCCATGTGATGACCACTCATGTGAGCAGCAGCTCTGGACTGGGCTGCAGTCTGAGGCTGGAGTCCCCCGCGTTTCCAGGATGGACAAGTGAAGAGGGTGTAGAAATGGGAACCTAGACCCTTGGTGGTGTGCTACCTCCCAGCTCCGCTAGAGGACGGGACACTAAAGATTTTGTGCCGTCTGGTCTTCGGAGAGTGAGGAGATGCAGCTGGCTTTGGGCTGATGCAGGCAGCACCTGAGGGAGCAGGCGGCTGTCATGCCAGCCTTCTGCCCTGGTTTCAGCCCTGGTTTCACCTTGCTGAGAGAGTGCCTGTTTGTGAGGTGCAGAGCACTGTGACCACTGGAGGTGCAGAGTGGGATGGCATTTATCCACCCATCAGTCATCCATCCATTCAGCCTTCCATCCATCCTTCATCCCTCCATCCATCCATCATCCATCCACCCATCCACCCATCATCCCATCATCCCATCATCCCTCTAACCATCCAACCATCCGTCCAGCCTTCCATCCATCCTTTATCCCTCCATCCATTCAGCCTTCCATCCTTCATCCCTCCATCCATCATCCGTTCATCCTTCATCCATCCATCCATCATCCAGACAGCCATCCACCTGTCATCCCTCTAACCATCCAACCATCCGTCCATCCTTCCATCCATCCATCCATCCATCCAGCCTTCCATCCATCCTTCATCCCTCCATCCCTCCATCCTTCATCCCTCCATCCATCCATCCTTCATCCATCCATCCTTCATCCATCCATCCATCCACCCATCATCCCTCTAACCATCCAACCATCTGTCTAGCCTTCCATACATCCATCTATTCACCCAACAAGTACCCAGTAGATCCTTCTGTGTGCCGGCACTAGAGATTTGGGCACGCACAGGACAGCTGTGGGTGACGGGATGGCATTGGCAGAGAGACAGCCCCAGCTTTCAGGCTTGGAATTTGCTCTGGAATGGCCACCTCAAGTACCGTTCAGGGGATGAGGAGGGTGGATTTGTGTGACGTGTTGCTGCTGTGCTGTGTCAGGGAGGGAGGGACCTTCCCCAGTCCCTGGCAAGAATGGAAGACACCATATCTGCCTGGTGTGGGGCTCAAGTAGGGCAAGTTGCTGGCCCCCTGGCAAACAGCAGCAGCTATGGATAGAGGGCCTGGGTTTTCTAGGACCCGTTGTGATAGAGACGTGGGTATGTTTCATTGCATTTGTACTGGTGGGCTTCACAGCACAAGTGTGGACTCTGCTCCCTGGGAAGGGGTCCTTCAGTTAGGGGCGCATTCTAGGGACACACAGAGCCACTCCAGGTTAAGTGTCCCTCCAGGTTAACAGCTGAAATCCTAAAGCAAACGTGTAGAATTAGATTCGTGAAATTGTACTCGAAATACTAGGGAAATTGGATCAAATCTTAACAGTGCCTATTCTTAGTGTAATTACTAGTGTTCATATTAAAAACACAATTCACATTATCATCTTTTTTCTTTGATTCCAGAAAATAAAGTATAATTGTCAAATAAATGGGATTTTAGTGAGATGGTGTTACGTAGAGCAAGCATGGACAGTATTTCAAATGCGTTGTTCCTGTGGGCCCATCTTGAAGGACAAAGTATGGTTATAAAAATAATGTTTCGTGAAGTTTTTTCTTCTCCCGTAGGTGGCTCTGCGTTGCTGATGCTACTTTGTTGCCCTGGTCAGGCTTCAACCACCTGTGTACATTTCTAAAGATTGCTGTTGCTCACACGTGCTGTGCTGAGGAGCAGGAGGTGGAGCAAGGAGGAGAGAGAGCATGTGCACACGTGTGGGTCTTTGTGCACACGCACACTCAGGGGGTGGGGGAGGGGACAGGACGAGAGGGGCAGTGACCGTGGGAGGAGCAAGCCCAGTGCTGTGACTGACCCTGCGGGCACTCAAGGACCCGGGCTTCTTTCGTCTTCTCTTTAACAGAAGGCTCTGGGGTCCCCCTGGGGACTTCTTGCAGAAGAAAGGCGAGAGAGGATGCAGAGCGGCAGGCAGGAGGTGGTGTGTCCAGGCGTGGAAGAACACAGCCCCGTCTTGGACGGGGAGATGAACCCACGTCTCTGCCCGTCACTCCACCCAGCCTGAAGTCCAGATCTCTGGGTGGTCCTCGTTGTCTCGTGTGGCTCTCCCTGGGCGGCAGCCTGCGAACTGCATGGGGACAGGACAACCACGATAAAAACACCTCAGCAAGGGGTAGAGGAATGCCCAGAGGTCCTGGCCCTTCGCGGTGATGAAGCCCTGCCATCTGGCGTGGCGCACCCCCCTTGATGCAGGGCCTCTTCCTTGGTTACAACCCAGGTCTTCTCTTGGGGGCTCTCTTGTCCATTGCTCTCCCTCCTTGGGGTTCTTTCTGTACCCCGGAGCCCCATCTGAGGTAGGGTTGGGCAGAACAGAGAACAGAGGGCATTCTGAGAGCTTGGCTGTGGGCCTTACCAATCACATAATTTGCTTTTAGGCGACACTTGTTTCTCTGTATTTGTTAGGTGAAAATGTACATGTTTAGAGCAGTATCTGTAATAGTGATAATTGAATGGAGTAAGTGCCTCAAATTTTCCAAGCCGTGTCAGAGAGTTTAGAGTCCCCTGGTCCCCTTGTACCAATGACATCATCTTATGGAGGCTTGTGGGGGT